TTTCTTACAAAATAAAAAATTACTAGACGAACTAAACTTTAACGCTGCAATTCCAGCAGCCGATACAGAAGTTACAGGGGTGTTAAGATCTGTTCCTACTGACTTATCTAATAAAAAAATTTTTTCGTTAATAGGCAGCTCCCGAAATGTCATTCAAGTGAGGCGATTTATGCGACGTGTACGAGGTGATGATGGCTCGGTGCGGTTTCTTCCTACGCAGACCGTAGCTGTTACATTTGCCTCCACTCAACTTCCAGAATTTGTATACTTAGATTCTTGGCGTCACGAGGTCAGTCAGTTCATTCCTCCTGTTAAGCAGTGTCTACGCTGCTTGAAATATGGACATATAGCCAAATTTTGTAAGAATGCCGAAATCTGTTCTATATGCACTGGTAACCACAACTACAAAGCTTGCAACATTAAATCTGATAACGCTAAGTGTGTCAATTGTAGTGGGAATCATATCGCCATTTCAAATAATTGCCCCATTAAAAAACAAAAAATCGAAGAAAATAAAATCAAGGCTCACTCTGTAAAATATTCAGATGTTTTAAGGGAGCAAGCATTTCCACAATTACACGCAAAAAACATAGATACCCAACTTCAAAACTTAGTGAAATCAGACAAATTTATGAATATGATAACTGAAATTGTCACAAATATTATTATTACTAATAAGGACCAAAATGTGCCTATTAACTCCAGTTTTATTCGAGATGTATTTAATAAAACTTTAAGCAAAAAAGCTACCTTAACTCAATAATGGTTAATACCTTAAATATAGTTCATTGGAATGCCCAGAGCCTAGGTTGCAATAGGCTTGCCCTATCACAATTTTTATTTGAACAAAATATTCATGTAGCTTTAATATCAGAAACATGGCTAAGGCCAGAACAATCATTTAATATGAAATACTACAACATTGAACGTAATGATTCTGGTAACAAACATAATGGTGTTGCTATTCTTATCCATAAAAGCTTAACATATAACAAAATAACTACATATTATGACAATTCTTTACAAAATATATGCATACGTTTAACTGTAAATAATAGAGAACTTAGTTTAGTAAGCTTTTATTCTCCACTCCAATGTACTCCTAGGTTCGATAAAAATAAGTTTGAAACTTTAATTAAATCTATTCCACAGCCTATGATTTTTGGTGGCGATTTTAACGCTCACCATACTTCATGGGGATGTGGTTCGGACTCGATTCGTGGCAGAGAGGTCTTAGAAGTGATTGACAATAATAATCTTGTTTTGTTGAATGATGGTCAGGTTACAACAGTTGGTTCTATATCTTGGCGTCCGAATGCTCTGGATCTATCTATAGTTTCTCCGTCGTTAGCTCTTTCATGTGATTGGTCTGTACACAATGATCCTCTTGGCAGTTATCATCTCCCTGTAATTATCAAAGTTCTTGTTAGAAAAAAAGGCAACAAAAGTTCTGATTCACATAATAATAGTATACATTTGCCCATCCACCCTAATTTTAAGATGGTTGATTGGAAAATGTATACCCAAAATGTAGAGTCCCTTTTAACAGACTGCAAATTAGAGAATTATACACCAATTGAAGCTTACTCTGCATTTTGTAAAATAATTAATTTAGCTATAGTAAGGTCGCTTCCACTTAGCAATTCTGCATCTATCAAAAATAGTAACAATACTAGGAAATCACGAGCTTTGCCCTGGTGGAACAAAAAATGTTTAGAAGCAGTTCAGAAATCCAAATTGTCATATGTTAATTTTAAAAATAATCCTTCTGCTGAAACATATATAGAGTTCAAAAGATTACAAGCTTTAAAAAAACTTACCTTGAAAACTGAGAGAAACAATAGTTGGATTGATTTGTGTAATTCTTTTAATCGTTGTACCCCCTTGTCTCGAATTTGGAAATTAATGCGTAAATTTAACAAAACATATTCTTTCAGTAATAATAATAATGATGATTGGATTCCAGAATTTTTACAGAAATATACCCCAGATTATGTACATAATTCACCTAGTTTTCCCATAGTTGATCATTCAAATACTTCATATAACTATTTAATTAAACCCTTTTCTTTTCAAGAGTTGTTGTCTGCAATTCATTCTAGAAGGAATACAGCAACTGGTCTGGATGGCATTCCTTATTCCATGCTCAAAAAGCTCAGTGATAATAGCCTCCAAATCTTCTTATCCATTTTAAATAGTTTGTGGAGAAATAATGATATACCCGATCCATGGAAGTCTGATTGTATAGTACCCATTTTGAAACCAGATAAGCCCAAATTGAATCCAAACTCATATCGTCCAATCACTCTTACATCTTGTGTTGGAAAAATCTTTGAACAGTTGTTAAAACAACGACTTGAGTTTTTTGTGGAACAAAATCACATTCTACCTGCAAATCAATTTGGATTTAGAAGAGGAATGTCTGCTCGTGAAAGTATTTGCCAACTTCATCTTGATATTCAGAATAGTTTAGTTAATAAGAATTTCTTGGTATCTGTATTTTTTGATGTTTCTGGTGCCTTTAATAATATAAATATTCATGTGCTTTGTTCTGAATTGGCTTGTTTAGGAATTCCAAGTAAAATAATTCAATGGATTTATAAATTTTTGACAGAAAGGGAAGTGTATGTCAAATATAATAATAATTTATATGGTCCTAGACGTGCATCCATTGGAGTTTGTCAAGGAGGAATTCTGTCTCCCTTATTGTTTATTCTGTATATAAGACGTCTTAATTTAGTACTAGGTTCTCATGTTAAAAATTTACAGTTTGCTGATGATCTTGTAGTTTATGCATCTGGAAAAAAATTAACAGAAATTACCAACATTGTAAATAAATCTTTAGAAGGTCTTTATAATTATTTTTCGTATTTAAATCTTGATATCAATGCCCACAAATCAAACTTAGTTATATTTGGAAAAATTCATAGCTCAGCCTCCATTGTATATTATAACAAAATCCCTATCCCCATTTCTTGTGAAGCAAAGTTTTTAGGAATATCATTTACTTACAATGTGTCATGGAACAAATATGTTGAAATTATAAGTTCAAAGGCTAACAAAGCATTTAATGTTTTAAAATCATTATGCAGATCATCCTGGGGAGCTGATCCCAAAATATTATTAATACTTTATAAGTCTCTCATTCGCAGTCATTTTGAATATGGGTTTCTCTGTTTTTCTGGTGATAATAGACTGGTGGATAAACTAGAAAAAATCCAAAATAAAAGTATGAGAATTATAACAGGAGCATTTAAAAGCACACCTATAAATTCATTACAGGTTGAATGTGGATTACCTCCATTAAATATAAGATTTTCCTACTTGAAAGAAAAGTTTATTTTAAAACTTTACACAAAAAGAAATAATCACCTTTTTTTAAACTTGGTCAATTCACATATTTCAACAGAGAATCTTTACATTCTTCAGAATTTTTCCCAATTTTTAAATTATATTAATGGCTTGCAAATACACCAGTCAGAATTGCTACCTTGTTATCAGGGACAATTTGAGAGTAAATTCCCAGCAATAAATATTTTCATTGATCATAAATTATCTTGTAAGCAAGATGTTTATAATAAATTTTCTGAGTTTTCTGGTCATCGGTTCTTATATACAGATGGTTCAAAAACAGAATCAGCAGTCTCTTTTGCAATTTTTGATGAGCAATTGAAGTTAGGTACAGGTTACAAAATTAATTCCAACACAAGCATATTTACAGCCGAGGCTCTGGCTATTCTTGCAGGTCTAAAACATATTAAATATAAAAATAATGGATGTCATAAGTGGGTAATAGTTAGTGACAGCATGAGTGTTTTAGAAAATCTTAAAAACAATAAGTTCAATGCTAACACAAACTATCTTATATTTTCGATTAAACAACTTTGGTTAGACTTGAACATTATGGATAATATTCAAGTATCATTTGTTTGGGTTCCTTCACACATTGGTGTGGTAGGAAATGAAAAAGTTGACTTTTTGGCAAGGTTTATAACCAATTCTTCAATAATCCCTGATTCCAGCAATAGCCTTAATATAACTGTTCCAAATAATGACATAATTTTTCTTTTAAAAAATAGATCCACTAATTCGTGGAAAAAACATTGGAATTTTAAAGTCCAAATAGAAAACAAAGGTTTATGGTATGCTTCTTTTAACGTTCCTGTAAATTCTACACCTTGGTTCTGCAAAAGTAACACTTACTTTAACAGGAAATTTTATACAACTATCCTGAGGCTTCGTTTCGGTCACTGTAGTCTAAAATACCATCTTTATCGTCTAAATATAGTACAAAGTCCCTTTTGCGATCGTTGTGACACTCAAACAGAGCAGTCTTTGGACCACATATTCTTTGAATGCCCATCCTTTGGCATTCAGCGCCTTGTGCTAATGGATGAGCTGATTGAGATTTATAAAAGTCCGGAACGGGTACCGCGCTCTACTTCAAATCTGCTCGTAAATACCTCCACATTTCTACCTTTGTTTAAATTTGTAGATAGCACAATTGGGCAAATATAGGTGTACATAGCTTAGGATAATTTTTACGTGTCTTTGTTGTATTTAGTCACTTTTTTCTTCTTTTTTATCCTATTTCGATTTTTTTGAGAATGAAGTCTCGAATGCATAGGTATTATTTGGTTGATGTCAATATGAAACGGGAAGTAACTTTTGTTTGTTGATGTTGTAAGTCAAAGAATAATTCAATGGGTCTTTGAAATTTTTTGAAACGTATTTTTATTGTAATTTTGTTTTTATACTGAAGAAGTTTAATATCATTTTTATAAACTGAAGACTTAACGTCATTTTATAATACTAAGAAATACAATTCAACCAATGACGAGGCAGTATGGTCTATGATCTTAGCCTGTTCCGGAAGGAACGAATAATTGAAAAAAAAAAAAAAAAAAAATCAAAAAAATATTGTTTTCATATCATAGTTTGTCGCTTTTTTGATTAAGTCGGTATCTTAACTTTAATTTATTTTATTCTTATCTGCAAACATGAATCAAGCTATAAATGTAGAACAATTGAACTCTGCATTAACCTCTTTGAGGACGTTGCGTTTAAGTGTTAGCCACGTTTTTGATACGCTGTCGAACGGGTTGCGAGCTGATCACGGTGAAGATGGCAAAGATAAGTTCTTACTAGAACTCCAAGAGCTACTAAATAATGTGAATACCAATATACGTGATCTCGAACAAACTGTAAATGGATTACCAATACCAACAGCACCTTTTAATCTCGGAAACACAACGTTTCTGAGTCAAGAAACCACACAGGATAGACAAGCTTTGTACACGCAGTTAGTTAACAGCTACAAGTGGACAGACAAGATACACGAATATAGTTCTTTTGCTCACACTTTACTGAGTCAGAACTCTTTAAAACGATCTTATATAAACTCTGGTAGCACAAAACGAAGGGGAAAGTTACAAAGCAACCACAATGTCGCCCCTTTACAAGTCGATAACGTCATAAACAATATAGACAGATCCTACAATGATATGAAGATAACAATATCACGGCCATTCGCAAGTAATGCAGTAGTTCAAATAAATTTGAGTCATGTTCTTAAAGCAGTTGTCGCTTTTAAAGGACTCTTAATGGAATGGGTTATGGTCAAAGGATATGGTGAAACTTTGGATTTGTGGACCGAATCTCGTCATCATGTATTCAGAAAAGTCACTGAAAATGCTCATGCAGCCATGTTGCACTTTTATTCACCTACTTTACCAGATCTAGCGGTGAGATCCTTCATGACTTGGCTGCATAGCTATGTAAATCTGTTTAGTGAGCCATGCAAACGCTGCAGTTGTCATCTACATCACATTTCACTTTTACCACCAACTTGGAGGGACTTCCGCACACTGGAGCCGTTTCATGATGAGTGCAAACAATAGTTAATGTGGTATTGAAGGAGAAAACATACCAATAAATCCATATGTTGGTAGTTTTCTCCTTCAATAGTGAAATATAAATTATAAATGGATGAATGGACATGATATTCAAAGAAACTGCTATGGTACTAGAATAATTTATTGTGTATAAATAAGTTGAATGTAGTTTTATAAGTCTTTAAGTATGAATTGTGTAGCACCTATAATGTAAATTAATTTGTTTATTCTAAAAGAGGAACATAACATATTAATAAATAACACTTAGATAATTAACAAAATATTTTATTAACTAAATAAATGGTTTACTCAGAACTATTGTATGATCCACACCACATACAACTTTCAATACATGAGCACCTACAGCTACTCTTAGAGGGAAATTCTGGTCCTTAGAATGACCTAAGCCAAGGCATCCATGCCTGTTCCGGCCCCACATGTAAAGATCTCCATTATTTGTAATTGCAGCTAAGTGACCAATTCCACATGCCACTTTGTCCACAACACATTCTGGATTGAACTCATTGCGACCGAAAAGTGGTGCAGGTATCAATTTCGGTTTGGCTGCATGCTGGACATTAGGGCCTAAGCCCAGTAATCCATAACCCCAAACAAATACATCACCCTGTTCTGAAAATCGACACATTTGTTTAATTTAGTAGACTATGTAATTTGTTTGACATTTATTTTTACATGCAGCATACTGTACTAACCATTGACAATCAAACAAAAAGAACCTCCAGCAGCTATGTCTTTTATTTTTCCGATGCCTTTAGTGAAGTTTACAAGAGCATAGGACATATTAACCTGTTGTTGATTAGTGGTCATCGGCACTTGACCATATTCTGAGTTGCCCCATCCAAAAAGTTCACCTTTATCTACAAGAGTAAAAAAAATAATATTATTAAACTCATGTCTGTGTACAATTTCTCATTAGAGCAATATTAAACTGTTCAAATTACCATTTAAAGCTAAAACACAATCCACTGTGGATGCAACCTTCACAATTTTCTCACTAGTTATATCACCTTTGACAGGGGCTGGTACACTCTGATTCTCATAATTTCCGAGGCCTGTCTGTCCATCAGCACCCCAGCCACAAGCATAGACTTTTCCCGATTCTGTTATAAATAACCTGTAAATTGTTTCAAAATGATTATTTTTTTGTTGTCAAATATAATTAAATTATAGTACAAGGCAGGGGCACAATGTCATGTACAAGGCAGGGACACAATGTCATGTACAAGGCAACATATGCACTGTATCAGAAGCCCATAATGTGTGTAAAAGAAAATTCTGAAGATTTAGGCCCTCAACTTTGATATAGGGCATTGTACGCCACTGGTACACATGATAGTTATATAAATAAATATTAAAAACAACATCACATACATTGCTGAGATTCCAAGATGAGTAACTAAAGCCCCTGTATTATGAAGTATTTGAGATAACAAAGGTAACACAACACCCAGACCCGAATATAGAAAAGTCCATTTTCTACATTGACACAACCAGGAATCAAGTACCTCAGAGATAACGACACGAAACCAGTTTGCGAACACTAGGCTACAGAGGTAGTCAATAATAATAATGATACTCACGTATGGTCCTGTCCACAACAAACATTGATAATAACTTCTTTACCCAATGTGCTAATTCTATGTGCCACCATACTTCCCTTGTATTCTTCATTTTTGTTAATTTTTCTACCACATTGGCCATAAGCATTGTTGCCTAATGTATAAACACCTTCAGTATCTGTTAATACAGCTGTGTGAGCCCGCCCTGCTGACAGACCTATGATCTAAAACAAAGAAATAGTTATATGATCACAAAATATCTAAAAACACAATACACTACTTTATTTGAGCATTTAGCTAATTAAAAATCCAAACCATCCATAATAACTATTTTTATTAAATAAAAATCGATTTATGATTTTTGAAATTAAATTTTAAAATGATATATCATTTACATGGCTATATTTAAAAAAAATAGACAATATCACATACATCGCTCAGATTCCAAAGTGAGAAGCTAAAGCCCCCGTATTATGAGACAATGCTACCACATAACTCAGACCTGAGACAATATAAAAAAGTAAAATTTTCTACATTGATCCAACCAGAAATCAAATCCGGAACTTTTCCCTATCCAAGAAAATTAATCTATTCAAGTACCTAATATGTTGGGTAGCAAATTTTAGTTATTTTTTTCATTGATATTAATGTTTAATAATCTTTTAATATTTTGTTGAAGATTAATTAATTTCATAACATTAATAAATCTTAAAATTAAACACATGTACTTACTTTACTTTCCAAAGATTTATAAGGTATATAAATAGGTGCAGGACTCAAGAGCATTTCTAAGGGGTGCCCGATACGTGGAGCATGATAGCCAATCTGAGAGTCAGTATTAATACCAGTGCCAAATACTTTATGTTGCTCATTTGTTTTAATTGATGCCACTGTGAAACCATAACCACAAGCTATTTCAGTGACCTGTTAAATATAACATAATGTTATATAATGGCCTGGATGATACTTCAAACTTTATCTTTAAAACATTAAAATTATGACAACCAATTAGGGAATGCGATATCGCGAGATTGGGGCAGAGCAAATTCTTGTGAGTTTTTGAATAGCAATACTGCAAGATCTTGTGAGATTGGCACTTTTGTGTGTTGATTGTTGCAAATAAAAACTCTATTTGAATAAATAATAGGAATTACAGCTATTAAGAAATAAACATTTATCTCTATGGGTATTTTTAATAAAGTTTTTTGTATTTAACATTGTCTGACATTTTTTTTTTAAACTTTAAACACGCAATTTCTGTACATTAATCTGAATCCCTGAAACAACTCAAACAATTTTCATGATATTTAGTATGTAGGAGCTTTTAGAGGGGGTCTAGTTGGGTTTCATTTATCAAAAAAGTTGCAAGTAAAGTTCAGTCATCCAGGTTTCTCTGCTAATATCAAATAGAAGTCTTTTAATAATTAAACAGTCCCTTTTTAATAAAACAATAAGAAGTCAAAACATAAAATAAACCTATGTAAGTTGAATTGACTTTAAAAAGGAGGTATTATTATCAATTAAAGAAAATGTGTGTACTCAGATATCTTTTAGAAATTAGAGAAAAAAATTTGCAAAATATACCAATCAGTTTAAATGTTTGTTCAGTTCACCTCACACAATATTATTATTAATAATCCGAAAGTAGCTTCTTAAGAAACACAAAATGTCTAAAGAATTGTCTGCTCTATTGTCTTCTAATAGTGCTGGCCAGATAACCAGCCTCTGAGAAGGCTTTTTGGAAACAAAAGAACTGTAAAAGTGATCTCGCATACACGAGATCTTGCGAGAACGAAACTTCGTTCCATTCAAAGTTTAAGGTATCAATGAACAGTTGAATCTTCCTTTCAGTTTTGGCAAATCTGTAGCAAATTATTTTCTAAATAAAACCCTAAATTTGAAACTATAATTAATGCAAATTGATAACTTACATCAAATCTCTCCCCAAAACTGGATCTAATGGGATGCCATGCTAGAGAGAACGCATTCTTGTAAGATTTCTTTCCTCGTTTGCTTCTAGGCAAATGAATTCCTAGGGCGCCTGTCTCTGCTAATCCCCAAACGTAAACGCGCTTGTCTGACGATTTGCTCAAGGGGTACTGGAATACTAAGCATTCGAAAGTTAATCTATAAATGTATGGATTCTACAAAAAAAATACAACTTCTAGTAAGATAAATTTTGTTACAAGTTCTTCAATAAATAAATGACAACTGACTGGGTAAATCCTCTTCCGAATCATCATGAATTTTCTTCTTTGTGGTTGCATAGCTACTGCGGTGAATTACTCTAAAAGATCTAAGATATAATAATGTTCTTAGTGTATTCATATTTGAAATATTAATGGATTATTTTTAGGTTACAAAACATTTTTATTTTTTTTTTTTTTTTTTCAATTATTCGTTCCTTCCGGAACAGGCTAAGATCATAGACCATACTGCCTCGTCATTGGTTGAATTGTATTTCTTAGTATTATAAAATGACGTTAAGTCTTCAGTTTATAAAAATGATATTAAACTTCTTCAGTATAAAAACAAAATTACAATAAAAATACGTTTCAAAAAATTTCAAAGACCCATTGAATTATTCTTTGACTTACAACATCAACAAACAAAAGTTACTTCCCGTTTCATATTGACATCAACCAAATAATACCTATGCATTCGAGACTTCATTCTCAAAAAAATCGAAATAGGATAAAAAAGAAGAAAAAAGTGACTAAATACAACAAAGACACGTAAAAATTATCCTAAGCTATGTACACCTATATTTGCCCAATTGTGCTATCTACAAATTTAAACAAAGGTAGAAATGTGGAGGTATTTACGAGCAGATTTGAAGTAGAGCGCGGTACCCGTTCCGGACTTTTATAAATCTCAATCAGCTCATCCATTAGCACAAGGCGCTGAATGCCAAAGGATGGGCATTCAAAGAATATGTGGTCCAAAGACTGCTCTGTTTGAGTGTCACAACGATCGCAAAAGGGACTTTGTACTATATTTAGACGATAAAGATGGTATTTTAGACTACAGTGACCGAAACGAAGCCTCAGGATAGTTGTATAAAATTTCCTGTTAAAGTAAGTGTTACTTTTGCAGAACCAAGGTGTAGAATTTACAGGAACGTTAAAAGAAGCATACCATAAACCTTTGTTTTCTATTTGGACTTTAAAATTCCAATGTTTTTTCCACGAATTAGTGGATCTATTTTTTAAAAGAAAAATTATGTCATTATTTGGAACAGTTATATTAAGGCTATTGCTGGAATCAGGGATTATTGAAGAATTGGTTATAAACCTTGCCAAAAAGTCAACTTTTTCATTTCCTACCACACCAATGTGTGAAGGAACCCAAACAAATGATACTTGAATATTATCCATAATGTTCAAGTCTAACCAAAGTTGTTTAATCGAAAATATAAGATAGTTTGTGTTAGCATTGAACTTATTGTTTTTAAGATTTTCTAAAACACTCATGCTGTCACTAACTATTACCCACTTATGACATCCATTATTTTTATATTTAATATGTTTTAGACCTGCAAGAATAGCCAGAGCCTCGGCTGTAAATATGCTTGTGTTGGAATTAATTTTGTAACCTGTACCTAACTTCAATTGCTCATCAAAAATTGCAAAAGAGACTGCTGATTCTGTTTTTGAACCATCTGTATATAAGAACCGATGACCAGAAAACTCAGAAAATTTATTATAAACATCTTGCTTACAAGATAATTTATGATCAATGAAAATATTTATTGCTGGGAATTTACTCTCAAATTGTCCCTGATAACAAGGTAGCAATTCTGACTGGTGTATTTGCAAGCCATTAATATAATTTAAAAATTGGGAAAAATTCTGAAGAATGTAAAGATTCTCTGTTGAAATATGTGAATTGACCAAGTTTAAAAAAAGGTGATTATTTCTTTTTGTGTAAAGTTTTAAAATAAACTTTTCTTTCAAGTAGGAAAATCTTATATTTAATGGAGGTAATCCACATTCAACCTGTAATGAATTTATAGGTGTGCTTTTAAATGCTCCTGTTATAATTCTCATACTTTTATTTTGGATTTTTTCTAGTTTATCCACCAGTCTATTATCACCAGAAAAACAGAGAAACCCATATTCAAAATGACTGCGAATGAGAGACTTATAAAGTATTAATAATATTTTGGGATCAGCTCCCCAGGATGATCTGCATAATGATTTTAAAACATTAAATGCTTTGTTAGCCTTTGAACTTATAATTTCAACATATTTGTTCCATGACACATTGTAAGTAAATGATATTCCTAAAAACTTTGCTTCACAAGAAATGGGGATAGGGATTTTGTTATAATATACAATGGAGGCTGAGCTATGAATTTTTCCAAATATAACTAAGTTTGATTTGTGGGCATTGATATCAAGATTTAAATACGAAAAATAATTATAAAGACCTTCTAAAGATTTATTTACAATGTTGGTAATTTCTGTTAATTTTTTTCCAGATGCATAAACTACAAGATCATCAGCAAACTGTAAATTTTTAACATGAGAACCTAGTACTAAATTAAGACGTCTTATATACAGAATAAACAATAAGGGAGACAGAATTCCTCCTTGACAAACTCCAATGGATGCACGTCTAGGACCATATAAATTATTATTATATTTGACATACACTTCCCTTTCTGTCAAAAATTTATAAATCCATTGAATTATTTTACTTGGAATTCCTAAACAAGCCAATTCAGAACAAAGCACATGAATATTTATATTATTAAAGGCACCAGAAACATCAAAAAATACAGATACCAAGAAATTCTTATTAACTAAACTATTCTGAATATCAAGATGAAGTTGGCAAATACTTTCACGAGCAGACATTCCTCTTCTAAATCCAAATTGATTTGCAGGTAGAATGTGATTTTGTTCCACAAAAAACTCAAGTCGTTGTTTTAACAACTGTTCAAAGATTTTTCCAACACAAGATGTAAGAGTGATTGGACGATATGAGTTTGGATTCAATTTGGGCTTATCTGGTTTCAAAATGGGTACTATACAATCAGACTTCCATGGATCGGGTATATCATTATTTCTCCACAAACTATTTAAAATGGATAAGAAGATTTGGAGGCTATTATCACTGAGCTTTTTGAGCATGGAATAAGGAATGCCATCCAGACCAGTTGCTGTATTCCTTCTAGAATGAATTGCAGACAACAACTCTTGAAAAGAAAAGGGTTTAATTAAATAGTTATATGAAGTATTTGAATGATCAACTATGGGAAAACTAGGTGAATTATGTACATAATCTGGGGTATATTTCTGTAAAAATTCTGGAATCCAATCATCATTATTATTATTACTGAAAGAATATGTTTTGTTAAATTTACGCATTAATTTCCAAATTCGAGACAAGGGGGTACAACGATTAAAAGAATTACACAAATCAATCCAACTATTGTTTCTCTCAGTTTTCAAGGTAAGTTTTTTTAAAGCTTGTAATCTTTTGAACTCTATATATGTTTCAGCAGAAGGATTATTTTTAAAATTAACATATGACAATTTGGATTTCTGAACTGCTTCTAAACATTTTTTGTTCCACCAGGGCAAAGCTCGTGATTTCCTAGTATTGTTACTATTTTTGATAGATGCAGAATTGCTAAGTGGAAGCGACCTTACTATAGCTAAATTAATTATTTTACAAAATGCAGAGTAAGCTTCAATTGGTGTATAATTCTCTAATTTGCAGTCTGTTAAAAGGGACTCTACATTTTGGGTATACATTTTCCAATCAACCATCTTAAAATTAGGGTGGATGGGCAAATGTATACTATTATTATGTGAATCAGAACTTTTGTTGCCTTTTTTTCTAACAAGAACTTTGATAATTACAGGGAGATGATAACTGCCAAGAGGATCATTGTGTACAGACCAATCACATGAAAGAGCTAACGACGGAGAAACTATAGATAGATCCAGAGCATTCGGACGCCAAGACATAGAACCAACTGTTGTAACCTGACCATCATTCAACAAAACAAGATTATTATTGTCAATCACTTCTAAGACCTCTCTGCCACGAATCGAGTCCGAACCACATCCCCATGAAGTATGGTGAGCGTTAAAATCGCCACCAAAAATCATAGGCTGTGGAATAGATTTAATTAAAGTTTCAAACTTATTTTTATCGAACCTAGGAGTACATTGGAGTGGAGAATAAAAGCTTACTAAACTAAGTTCTCTATTATTTACAGTTAAACGTATGCATATATTTTGTAAAGAATTGTCATAATATGTAGTTATTTTGTTATATGTTAAGCTTTTATGGATAAGAATAGCAACACCATTATGTTTGTTACCAGAATCATTACGTTCAATGTTGTAGTATTTCATATTAAATGATTGTTCTGGCCTTAGCCATGTTTCTGATATTAAAGCTACATGAATATTTTGTTCAAATAAAAATTGTGATAGGGCAAGCCTATTGCAACCTAGGCTCTGGGCATTCCAATGAACTATATTTAAGGTATTAACCATTATTGAGTTAAGGTAGCTTTTTTGCTTAAAGTTTTATTAAATACATCTCGAATAAAACTGGAGTTAATAGGCACATTTTGGTCCTTATTAGTAATAATAATATTTGTGACAATTTCAGTTATCATATTCATAAATTTGTCTGATTTCACTAAGTTTTGAAGTTGGGTATCTATGTTTTTTGCGTGTAATTGTGGAAATGCTTGCTCCCTTAAAACATCTGAATATTTTACAGAGTGAGCCTTGATTTTATTTTCTTCGATTTTTTGTTTTTTAATGGGGCAATTATTTGAAATGGCGATATGATTCCCACTACAATTGACACACTTAGCGTTATCAGATTTAATGTTGCAAGCTTTGTAGTTGTGGTTACCAGTGCATATAGAACAGATTTCGGCATTCTTACAAAATTTGGCTATATGTCCATATTTCAAGCAGCGTAGACACTGCTTAACAGGAGGAATGAACTGACTGACCTCGTGACGCCAAGAATCTAAGTATACAAATTCTGGAAGTTGAGTGGAGGCAAATGTAACAGCTACGGTCTGCGTAGGAAGAAACCGCACCGAGCCATCATCACCTCGTACACGTCGCATAAATCGCCTCACTTGAATGACATTTCGGGAGCTGCCTATTAACGAAAAAATTTTTTTATTAGATAAGTCAGTAGGAACAGATCTTAACACCCCTGTAACTTCTGTATCGGCTGCTGGAATTGCAGCGTTAAAGTTTAGTTCGTCTAGTAATTTTTTATTTTGTAAGAAAACATTTGCGTTGTTGGATACATCAAATGTGATACCAATTTTGAATTTATTTATTGCTTTTAAGTGTAGGACACCCGAGACGCAATTTTTCCTTAGAGCATTAGATAATGCAAGTCGGTCTTTATCATTGAAGTTAAGTCCATCTTTTCGGGACAAGAAAACAATAAATTCAGATTTTTTTGAATCTTCCAAATATTTCCGGCTATATCCGGGGACTTTGAAGATATCATATTTTTTTCCTATAATATCATCATCTTCTGTATCGGACGAAGACGACAATGAAGACGATGAAACGTTTTTATCATCAGGAGGATTTTCCGGTTTACGACGTTTTTTCGCCTTCCCCATATTTATAATATGTACAACTCTCTATTTGTATAAACAGGCTAGTATTTACACACTATATTACAAAAATATACAAAATAAAAATTCGCAAATAAGAAAAGGCGCCTAAACGTATTCAAGGTTCCCGCGCGAATCCCAAAACATTTTTATATTATGACATTTTTCATTTTTATTAGTTTTTTTCTATATAAAAAGCAAATAGAATAGCCCATACAGCCTCTGTAACTTACGAAAATGTAATAAGTAAGCTATGTATTTATATATTTTATTTTATAATACCTATATCATAGAATGATGACTCGATGTTTTTGTTAACAATATTGTCAATAAATATCATAAATATTTTTTGTCGTAGAGGTAGGCAAAAATACGTCCTAAACGAGCAAAGAGGAAGTATTTAAAAAAACATAAGTTCCCGAAATCAGCCTAAAAGTCGCTATAGTACTTTTTAGACCTTTCCAGTTTTCTTTCATGTATAAAAGTAAATTAATTTAAAAAACTCAATAAACTACTCATATTCTATTTGTACTTTTTCGTATTTGTATTGATATCTACGTTTCGAACTTTGCAAATTTCAGTTTTTTTTATATGTTAGTTAAAAGGAACAGAAATGACTACCTTAGGTCCATTCGTTTCCTGCAAAAATCAACTTTTGCTGGGGTCGCCACCTAGTGGAGGTACTTTTTTAGAGCTTTCTTTTTTTAATAAAAAAATATATAAATTGGTGAACATAGGAAAATAACAAGGAAGTATTTAAAAAAAATTGTTCCCGAATCAAACTAAATGTCGCTACGGTACGTTCTTGATTTCTCCATGACAACCATTCCAGTTTTCTTTCAAGTTTAAAAGTAAATTAGTTTTCAAAACTCATCAAAAGGAACGGAAATGACTGTCTTTGGTCCATTCGTTTCCTGCAAAAATCAACTTGCTAGAGTCGCCATCTAGTGGAGGTGCTTTCGTTTTTTTTAATTAACAAAATATTCAGAAGTGCTTGAAATATGTTCATTCATTATCATTTGTCATTTTAAATCGACTATTCGCAATAAACTCAAAATGTCTTTTTATACGTTCAATTATTTTTCTACATTAATTCTTTCACCATTCGAAAGCTACATTATCCACGAGTAACATAGGTTAATTTTATTTTGGGAAAAATAAGAGATCCGTAAGATATTTGGGTTTTTCGGACACAAGGTGAAAATAATCAACCAGAAAAGTTACTTATTTTACGTACGCTGTCTAAACTATAAAAGATATAACCATTAAATGTTCTAATTAGTTGTAGATCTTATAAATATCTACAAAAGGGTCCGCGACACACTATACCTATCTATGTTGAGTGAGGCACAACAGCCATGTTTTATTTAAAAATTTTGAATTTTTTTTTAACTAGATTTAAACGTGTTTATTTTACTCATGCTATTAATCCTTATAAAAATTCATCACTAAATACAGTTTCTGTAGATAATATTTGGTCTTTGAATTATTAAAATTGGACGATTGGTTTTGAAGTTATGGCGAAATTATAATATAACGATTTGTACTGCACGCCCCGTTGCGAAATGGACGTCCCAAGGCGGGAGTGCACGCGGGGAGGGGAGTTTAGATCTATGAGTAAGGTACCAGCGGTCCACGCGGGCGAAACCGCTGGCAGAAAGCTAATAACCTATATAAGAAGGCTAAAAGCGTCTAGCACAATTAATTTGTAATTATGCTAATGCGGGATTAAATGAGACTTAAAATAACTTTGAGAACGCTTAAATGATACTGTTCAATCAACACAGCCTTGATGTTTTGTGTGTAATAAAATAAAAGATAACTACAAAAACAAACAAAAAAATGTTTTATTGTAGGTGAATCAATAAAACACCAATAACCATTAAATACCAGACATTATAATAATGACCTCGACAATTAAATATTATGTTACTTTATTTTAGATAATAAATTAGCGCGGAACTGAGTATTTTGGAATAGTGCTTTGATGAGACTCCTTAGCTCTTCAGTGTTGAAATGTACAGCGAGAGGACCGGTGCCGTCTTTCCAATGTTTCTCGATATCTTTCAAAGAGCCACCGAGAACGAAGATCAACTCTTGGAGTTTCTTCCAAGACTTCACATACTGTTCTACATCTGTTGTATTCTAAAATTAAAAGAAATATATGTGTTATATTTATAGAAAGATAGGCAATATATTTAAGACTAGCTGGTGCCCGCGACGTCGTCCGCATGGATATAAAATAGTTAAACGATAACTAAAAAATCACAGAATCTCTTTGTATATAACATTGGTTATTTTTCCTTCAGGACCAATAAAAACAAACCCGCAACACTACTGACTCGAAAAATCTGCATACAGCTATCTTTGGGGAAAACGACCAATCTTTAAATCTACACCAAAAGTCTGTGCATCTGTCCCTATGACTTATTTATCGTCATGGCGAAGCATGTAGCCACAGGCAACTGGGTGCGTTTAAATTATGATGCTAAATTGTTGGGGATAAACAACCTCCACTCATCAGCTCGGTACCTTGGGAGACTTTTAGCATAGTCTAGGTCTCTTGTTAAGTCACTTAAAGCATTTAGAGTGAACAGTATAGGCGCCGTTGATAATTCGAAATCGCTGTCTTGTTCATTCGAGGCGATTTCCATGACATCTGTATACGACGACTTTGATGGTTCTACATTCTTAGTATCTTTTAACAGACAAGGTAAGATACGTAATTTTTTTTATTTATGCTATGCAATTTCACTACACAAAAATAGTAGTCATCAAAGTGGTTTTTTGGTTCTGACCAAATCATAGGTACACTGAACTACATATGTGCACATTTTCCACTTGGCTATTGTCTAAATGTTCAGCGCATAGTTTACATATGATTTTTGATAGTAAAACCAAGCCTTTCAACAATCCATGTTTTAGGATTACCAGCACCTTTTTTTTGTAGACCTGTGTAATATTCCTTATAGCTGCAGAGCCATAATCATAAGCCTGGTTCCGTTGCATAACTTCAATGGAGAATAGTTTCTCATTAGCATTATACCAACACACCGACTTTGAACTTAATTTTGTTAGCCACTTGTTATAATTGAATTTAAAAATTCTATTGGGTAATTTAAACATCAAAATATCATCCTGAACTATGTTATTATTATAGTTTTATCTTTAATTGCGGCTGCTTGGACATTTTCAATACCCTACGTTAGTATACCAAGTTTTGCAGGTCTTCAAATACTGACTCAATTATTTGTTCCTCTGAAGCAGCAATTTTACACCAAGAGTCCTCCCCAACCATGTTCTTCTGGATTTTTCTCAATATGCTGAAAAATTCTTATATCACTAAGTTTGAATCACTATCATATTGATAGCCAGTCTGAATATTTGTGTACATGGCCAGTGATATGAATTCTTCAATAAATTCATCTGCTCTTGTTCCTTTATTTATTTCAGGAAGAGTTTGGCAAAAATGTCCTGAGAAAAGACTTGTGATATTATCCATTGGTTGATCATCTCATAATGTTCTGGCCACAGCTTTGAGGGTTTTCTGGTTGGACATGACACATTCATCCTTAACAATTAAACAGCAATCGTGTAACACTCGCTTTGTCAGAATTTCGCGTTATAGAACAGGTTAGCAAATTTCATACAATATATAGTGAAGTTGTAGCAATGAATTTCTAGAGTCGCAAATACAATACTACTATTATAACTAGTCAAACCACAATTGAATCATAAAGGGAACGGATTAACCTTTTCAATTGCAAACACTTTAAAATTACCTGGAATAATAGAGGCGCTTTCTGAACAACAAGTGTGTACATGTCAGTGAGCTGTGTAGCCATTTCCATTGATATGTCCTCTACAGTGCAAACACGATGGATCAACTCATCTACAAACATATTCACGAGTGTAGCCATTAATCTGAAATTAATAAAAAAAATTTTTTTATATATCTTGACCACAAAATAAATTATTAAAATTCATATTGCTATTTCGATGTGTCTACCAACATTAGTATGATCGATAGTATCACCTAGGTCTTGGTAAATCAAATTACTCTATTCAAAAGGACTCCAATTGAATTATGGGACTTTATTGACAGTCAACGTAAGTTTAACTATTACTAAACATTGAAGGTACAAATACTCACACAACTATTAATTATATTAGATAATTAAATAAAATAATTACTAACTAACTATATATTAATAAAATAGTTACCAAATGTCAATGAATTAAATATATTCAATAATTAATATATAAAATAAAAAAAAATAATGTTTATAAGTAGAGATCGCATAATTGCAACTCAATATTGCTGTGCCCTTACGGTGTGTATTTGTACAATATTTATTTACGCCTGGACATTATGGTGAGTAGGTATGCCCCGCTATTCCAGGCCACGGCAGCGCCCTTGGTTACGGTGAGGTGCTAAGAATCGCCAGGCTAAGGATATCTTACCAAAACTTGCGGCTGGAAGAAAGCTCGATTGAACTTGAGGAGGAATTGAAAGTCAACAATTGGCACGTTCTAAGGCTGTCCGAAGTCCGAAGACATGGAGAGGACACGACAATCCTGGAATCTGGTCACACTTTCTACTTCCGAGAGGAAGATCAACTAACGTAGCTTTCTTGTCAACAAAGTTCTTTGCGACAATGTGTTGTAGATCTCCAATTTGTCGACTAGGGTAGTGTACCTAGTATTTAAACTAACTGAGAGGAATGCTCTTAGATTGAACAGGAATATGCACTAACATCAACACACTTGAAGAATAAGGTCGAGGCTTTAAACTAAGATATCACCAAAGCAATACATACTCCCATTATGACTCATTTCACCATAGTCATGGGAAACTTCAATGTACAAGAATATAGCAAATCACATATTGGACAACATGGCTATGGGCACAGGAACACAAGGAGCAAATGCTTAACAACGTCCTCAACAAGGTAGGGCTGTTCTGAATGAACAGTTTCTATAAAAAGAAGCCCCAAAGAAAGTGGACTTGGCAATGGCACGTCCAAATGGCAGGACAACAAACGAAATAGATTTTATCATGACAGACAAGATGCGCATATCTGATGTTTGCATTGTCAATAGGTCCAATACCGGAAGTGTTCACCGACTTGTAAGAGGAACATGTATATATAATACAAGTGAATGTAGGAAAACAATACAGTACTTTCCTAGTGATTATTTATAAACTTAAACAATGAATACAAAAAGTATTACCTGGTAAAGACATTGATAGGAAATACACCAATCCAGACATTCTTTAGCAAGTGTAATTGCCTGAGACATTGTCTGACAGCTGCTTCTGCGTTATCACTGAGTACATCTTTGACCACTATACAGTTCAAATCTGTTGGCAATAAAAAAAACTGTTAAAATATGGCAAATAAGTAGGATATTAAGTACCCTACCACATTTTGAGTGAGATTTTTGCTTAAAATTTACAATATTGCTGTTCTTGAAAGAAATTGTGTTAAGGAAATCACCTTAAACTCTCCAACAAATAATTGGCAAACATGATATCGTCAATATGTTTATCAACATACTTACAGTCATAATATTAACACTGAAAGCTGAATAAACTCTGATAAAATAATTTTCAAAGTAACAAGCAGCTTATTCTGGTCTTCACATAATTTCAAGACCTCACCTGAAGATCTGATGTTGTCTAAAATCTGCTTACGCTGTTGCTGCATATGTATAGCTAGATGGCGGTAGCCCAGATCTCTTAGTTTTTGTACCAGGTCCACAAAGCTAATAGGATAGTCCAACTCACGTCCTTCCATTAATATCAGCCATTTGTCACCAAATGTCTGAAGGTTATGTGCCAAATACATGCAGTTATTATGAAATAGAGCTGGAAAATAATAAAAAGTATTTTAAAAATAATAAGAACTTATAAGGTGATGCATATACAAATTACATGTTGGTAGGCTAATTTAAATGGCCTTCATCAAATGTTTCAAATAATATGTATGTATACTAAGAAAGGAAGGCCCGAGCCCCTGCAGTGGGGACGTAAAAAGGGCTGATGATGATGATGATGATTATACTTAGAAAAATAAGTTGACAACCATAATTTGTAACTTACCAACATACTGAGGAATAGTTTGTAAATAATTTTCATGATGATATGGAACAACAGCATCATATAGTTCAAAAACTAAGCGTGTGGTATTGTAGAGCTTCTTACAGACAACATCTGAACATTGGACAGCCTGCTCCATCATCACATACACAAGATCTAACAATTCCTGTGCAGTTTTTGATATCATACATCTAGGGAAATAAAATAAACTTCTAGGCATTGTCTTATTGAGAATTTTTAATGCTTCCTCTTCAGTTCCACTGACATCAGCACTGGTCCCAGGATTGCCTTCTGGTATAGTTTCCACACCAATTGACATGGTCACACTCAAATCTTTTAGCATAATAGTACGAGCTGTCTCTAAGAAATACTGGCTGGACTTACTGGCAAAGAGTATATCTATATTGTTCACATATTTTAATATTGAAATCTTATCATCTGGAAAGAACTTCACTATGACTAAGAAATGTTGAAAATCTTCTATTTCAGAAGTAATTTGCCCATAACTTTGGAGTTCATTTATATTATTCGGTATAGTATCAATTAAACAGTCCTTAACTAATATATCACTAAACTCTGCACATATTTGTTTGCCCATCATTTTCATTATAGAGTTGTCTCGGTAATACTCTACATTCAACTTATTACTAAGATAATGGAACAGCAACCTTAAATTAGCAATTACTGCATCATAAGCTGGTTTGAAATCTGGTTTCTGATTTACAGTGATTGTCATCAACTCATCTGTCTCGGCAAATACAATACAATCATTATTTATTATCGGAACAAGAACATCCTTCAATAGAAATTGTGAAAACTCCATTACTTTTTCAACAAGTTTCTTACTTTTTTCTAGTGCATTCAAGACATCAATGACAATTAAAGAATCTTCTATATTAAGAGTTATTGTAATGGTTGTTTTTTTGTTACCAGGCTTCACAGAAGTGGAAATTAATCTATCCCATTCTCCATATAAATCAGATAGCAAACTGTCTAATATTAATTGAGCAGTGTGCCTAGTATTATTATACATGTCCAACTGTTTAAATCCTTCAGCAGGCATTTCAATGTATTGCAATAAGTCATACACTGCTTCAACAGCTCTAGTGAAACTTTGTGCTTCCCGACCATCATCAAATTCTTTGACATATTTACCACACTGTACTACATCATAAACAATATTCAGTGCAAAGTTTACAGACTCTAATTCTTTGGTAAGTCTGTCATGGTTTTCAATAGAATGCAGTATTTCTGCCATTGTTTCTTCCTCTATTTCTTGTTTGCACATTTCCATACCACTTACTAATAAGTTAGTCTCATCACATAACTCTTGACTTTCTTTCAATATAGCATCCATATTGTAATCACTACTTTTCAAGAATGTTTTCAAATCATTTTTTAACGTTTCTATTTCTTTAGTTACTAAGGGAATTTTATCAGATGGTTTCCAATTGTTAGAATCTTTGCTATCAAAAATATCTTTTAAAACAGTATCCACATTATAATTTTCCATCTTAATGCTTTCTCTTCGTTTTTTCTTTTTTAATGGTGGGTTTTGGGGGATAGTCTCTCTTTGGGGACCTGCTGTGCCTGCTGTTATGTCTTGAATGATAGTATTTATTAGAAGTCACAGCATTGCGCAGTGTGTTGACGAGAAAGCGTTTATTAGTTTTCTGTTGCGGCGCTTTAATCCAGCCGGATGGGCCAACTATTTCGGCACGGGCGGCTCCTTGGACTGCTTCCCGCATTAGCTCTTCTACAGCTAATCTAAAAGAGCCAATACATTATAACAAAATGTATGTGTAATAATAAATAGATACACAAAAACGGTAAATAGAAACTATAACACGTACTTCTCTAAGGCTTCGTCATCTAGAGGCTCATTTTCGGTTTGTTTGGTAGCATCTTCTTTCTCTGTCATAGTTTTTTAATGATATTATTCAGTGATATTAATTAGTTCGCAATCACGACGGAACACTTATTTTTGAAAATTCCATCGAATTCTTTTGAAAAATCCACGAAAACTCAGACGAAATAAATCCTTCAAAGTCATGAAAACAAACACGTCAAAATACATCATAGAGTACAAACTAACCACAAACAAATAGGAGGTTTCACCACCAAAAAGAATTTATACACAACAGAATTTTATTTATCCGAGTACAAAATGTTTGATTGAGCGGTTATATTGAAGAAGTATTTAAAAAAGGAAACTCCGTTTAAAATAAATATCTTTAAATGGCTTACAGCTACACTATTTCACTTCATGTTTTTTCAGAGTACCCTTTTTAAGCGTCAACTGACCTAAACAAAGTAAACTTTTAAAAATTAACCTTAGAATAATGAAAAAGGCTTTGATATTTTCAGAGTAAAGAGGCTATATCGTGTTGCAAGATGTGATTCAACCCTAATACGTCTTCTCCGAAGTGCAGTAGAGTAGCCCAGTTTAATCTGGCGCTGGCTGCGCTGGCAAGCTGGCAATAATTTTGAACGCGTGGAGTGAAACGTCAGCCACGTCTATGTACCTGTCACAAAAAAAGATCTCTTCGGTTTTGAGTACAGTGCTTCGAAGTCTTAATTTTATTATTTAGAGCATACATTAAGGTAATTTTCATTTAATTTACTTTATTATTCCCTATTATTAACTTTATATGATTATACCTTAGAAAATACAAATATTTCATTCATTATTTTAAGTAGGCCGCCTTTACAATTACTACTTTTTATAATATTTTACTAATTCATTTATTTATTTATTTACAGACAGAATGGCCACAAAATTATTGTCGCTGATCTTAATAGTGGCAGCAGCTGCCATGGCTGAAGACGAGCCGACAGTTGCAAGACTACTCGTTTCGAAACAAGTGTTAAACAAATACTTGGTGGAGAACATGGATATTTTAGTAAAATATACTTTGTATAACGTGGGTACCGCGCCCGCTGTGGATGTGAAACTAGTAGACAATGGTTTCCATCCAGAAGTATTTACAGTTGTGGGTGGACAACTAACAGCAGAGATAGACAGAATCCCACCTCAGACAAATGTCTCGCATGTTGTGACTGTCAGATCCAATAGATATGGGTACTTCAATTTTACTGCTGCAGAAATTACTTACAAACCCAGTGAAGATGCCACTGAGGTGAGTGTAGTTGACAAAGCTATTATTCTAAAATTAAATAATTGTTTTGTACATGCAACCAGTTATTAATTATATATAAAATATTTTCTTTAGATATATAATGAAGTAAATTAACAATTAAAACAGTAATTTATTTTTTGTCAGTCAGGTAGCTTATTGGATAATATTAAACACATTTCAGTTTTTGCATAATCAATAAATAAGGAATTTCAATAAGTTCCCATGTCAACCCACTCTCACTCAAATTAAAGCCTATATTGAAACCAATAAGAAATTTGTCTCTAATATTATTTCTATTGATTAATAAATGCACTAAATGCTTTTTCTGGCATTATCCAGAATTATTATCTATCATATAATAGATAAAATTGTCATAAAATATATTGTTTCAGATCCAATATGCAATCAGTAGTGCACCTGGAGAAGGAGCAATTGTAGCATTCAAAGATTATGACCGCAAATTCTCATCTCACATCCTCGACTGGGCTGCCTTCGCTGTGATGACACTACCGTCTCTTGCGATTCCTTTCGGTCTATGGTTCTCATCTAAGAACAAATATGAAAAACTAGCTAAACATAAGAAAACTCACTAGTTTGTAGTTAATATGCACAGCTACAGCTAATGTAATATGTGACTCTAGGTTTATTAATAGTATGAAGAATGTAAATATGAAGATCGATGGAAATATTTAGTTTTATTTAAGTTTTTTTTTAATCTAAACATATTCTAAAGCATTTTTAAAATGAACCTTGTTGATTTTGATAGAGGATCCAAATCACATTAGCTGTGTTGTAGCATATCATTTCTCCATTAGTTGTAATTTATCAACATCATTGTTAATAATTTATATGAACAATAAAAAGACAATTTTTAAATAGTTTTTTTTTTTTCTGAAACTCAAACTGAAGAGTGATAAATTTAACAATTTATATGAGAATTTTTAAAAGATATCGTTTGTGATAAACTAGCGAAAGCAATCTCGCGAGATTGGGGCTCAGGCGAGATATCGTGAGTTCATGAATATCAATTATTGGCAGTTTTGTGTTTACTTTTGTAAATAATCACATTTTTTTTAATAAATTAGGAAAAAATAGAAATTATGAAATAAACATTTATTATTACGGCTTTTTTTTCAAGAAAGTTTTATGTATTTATATGAGTATATAAAGAAAATATGGATGCGTCAGATCAATATTTGCTTTTATCTAATACCTTTTAACAAGCAATTCTTTTATTATAATCTGAAGCTCGGAAACGACTTCAATAATTTTCATAAATGATTTAGTTAGATTTAATTTACCAAAAAAGTAGATACTAAACTTTCAAGTAATAAACTGTGACGTATCGAAACAAATATGAAATGAAATTAACAAACAAGCATTCAAACAAGTCTTAATAATAAAACAGTTCTTTTATAACAAAACAACATATTGAAAGTAGCTTCTTAAGAAGTACTAAATGTCCAAAGAATTGTCTGCTAATCGTCTTCTCATTGTGCTGGTCAGATTTCCGGCTGTTGAGAAAGTCTCCTGAGAAAGTCCTGTAAAAGTATAAAACTTCGCTTTTTCCCTCGGACTCACATAAATACTCGCTCCCGCATTTATAATCAGGGTTTATAATTATCAACATAGTTACTTTTCTGGATAACTATCATGATAACTATCCATAGTTACTGGAACAATTTTTCAAACACAGAAAGGAATTCATAATTGAAAAAAAAAATATTTTTGTTGTTTTTATGATTTTCCCTATCAATAAGAGAAAACCATTTTTAATAGTTTAAAGATCAATAAGAAGTCCTAAAGTATAAAAAAAGTATGTGTAGTGTTTTATAATTATCAAGGTAGGTAATATACCTATCAAGACGCTGCTTAAAATAAGATGTTTTTATGCTCGAGCGCAATCTCGTTGAACTCGCGAGATCATGCCCATTTTTCGACCGAGATTAATCTCGTAAAAAAGGTAGAAAATTCGAAATCTCGCAAAAACGAGATAGCATTCCCTATGATAAACTTATACTTAAGGTTGTTGTTTTTATTGATACTAACAAGTACATAATTATTTAAGGGCACCCCAATCGATTATTTATGTATCAGTTTATCCAGAAAAAAGTCTGGAGTAAATATTCGCCTTGCCTTTACTGTACAACTGATTTCATATAAAAAATATGTATATCAAGCACTTTCAACTCGATATGAAACAAACAGAAAAATTGCCCTTCCTTGATCCTCCTTGAACATCACGAATTTCGAATTAATATTTTATTTTGTAGCATAAAAATGTAAAGCCTACTGAAAAAAAAATACATTATTGCCTTTATTTTTACGTAGGCGTTAGTGTTGAAAAATTCTGCCATTTATTAAACTTCATACTCGCTCCTACAATAAACGAGAAAATGATGAGTCCTTAATGTATAGGCTATAATCAATAATCTATTCCGAATAGAATACTCCAATAAAAAAGTTCACATATATTTCAACATGTGTGAATTTTGGTTTAAGTACCTACAAAAAAGCTGTAAAAAGTCCCTTTAATTTTGACTATCATTAGACTCTAGTTCCCCGTAAAGCATATGGTCAGAGGTCTACGATTATACTGATGAGTTAAAGTAAAATATGTTATAATTCGTTATTAATAACAGTAAACATAAAGCTAGGTTTTGTTTAATTTGGGGTGCCGCGTAAAGATTTGGTTGGGAAGAGAATAGACCATAATTAACTTCATGATAGCGTTTTGGTAGGTACTTATAACTACAGATGCTGCCGGGACCAACTGGCAGGCTTGCTACGCCTTCCAAACAGCACCGGTTCAATGGATCTTGGCGCCCTAAGCCAAACATTGGAACGGCAGTTAAAAAAACTCCTTGGTCTGTCAATCTTTTTTGGATACCGCGGATTTTAAAAATACTTCATTTTTAAGGTTCCAATAAGAAGATCAATCTGTTTGCCATGCCATATCTCCCCACAAATATGAGCGCTCTAATCGGTTGGCTAGTTTGCCTATATGGACAGACCGGCCCTGTATCGCAAACCTAATGCGATAACCACTGCGCTTTTGGAGTTCCTCAACAAAGATTCGCCGAAATATTTCCTTCTCACTGAAGGAAACACCTAATTTATAGATATGCTGTGGGTCAGAGTAAAGAGCACATAAACTTATTTAGAAGATCAATGACGCCGAGATTATTTATGAGGTCACCTAGCGGTCACGGACATGAAGTACAATGACCGAAGGCGTAAGTAAGAAAATCTGTGATTGCAAACTTGTAATATAACGGAAGAGTTTTCAAACCTAGATGGCGTGCCTGTAGTAAATATTTGTCCTTTAAAAAATGCAGTTATTTAAACAAAACAATCTCAAATCACAATATGCGCATGTATTTATATAATAACAATGTTTTATCGGTCAATTTAGTAGAAAAATTACATTTATCTATTGTAATACAAATGTCGCTTGTTGTAGATTACATTACAATATATGGATATGAGATCGCACCATTGCGATTTCAGTAAGCAAAAATTTCAAAAGAAGCCAATATTACTATTCAGACTTTAGATATACCTATCCAGGTAACGGTACCTTTTTTTTGATAACGCAGAGGAAATGCACCGTAAGTGTTACACCAGGGTTCTCCAACCGGGCGGGGGCCCTGAAAAGGACAGGTTAATGCAGACGGCCTACCTGGTAAAACCCGCTGCGGTTCAACTCACGCGTGTAGGAAGAACCCGGTATCCTGCAAGGAGGGCCCGGTTTCTTCCGTCGCGCTGGGCTCCTCTCGCGGAGGGTGGAGAGGAGTCGCCCTCTACGTGAAGGAAAAGATTTGGGTGAACAACAGCCTTTTCCCAGACAGTGGACCGTCCCCGCAGGCTTATCCCACGGTGGTGCAGGTAGGGTGTCAGCCCTGCCCGCGGGTCCGCAGAAGGAAGGTATGTGTCAATATTCCAAACCCCTTGACGCCTTCGTGTTGAGAGTGCCACCCGGACCTCTCACCTGGACTTCCTGAGAGCTTGTCCCAAGGCTGTCCCCTTGGACCTTCTCGCAGCACTCTCTTTCCTGCGGTACGTAACGATACCTAGTATAATAACCTAGTTCAATATGAAAACTGTATCACTTTAGGGTAGGCGCTGCGGATTCTGGGTCCGAAATTTAGCTCCGCTCCTTGAAAAGAGGGGCAATTTAAATTTTGTGGAATTGGATACCGTGTTACCTATATATATTTCTATATATAAAATACTAATAAAAAAAAATGTACCCAATTTTGAAAACTTCTACATACCTACTTAACTACTTACTTCAAGGAATATAATTAAAAAAACACTTTTTATAAACAATATATTTATTTCAAACATAATAGAGGCTTATTTACATAAAAATACAAATACACAAAGTAAAACAAACAATAGCTACAAGCAAATAATACAAAAAAAAATACATCATTTAATATTTAAATGTTTTCAATTTCGCTAATAATAACACAATATGTATTCTAAATAAATAATTGACATTAAAGCTGTTTGGAAACATATTACACGTTTAATCCTGCATATTAAGCGAGTTTAAACATAATTGTTAATATAATAAAACATAATTTTGATAATGAAAATCAGCTACATGTTACGTAAATAAATCTTTGACATTTCTCTAAAATTAAATAAATACTTTTTTTCAAATACGTTTTTTTTTAAACGGGATCTAGTACCTATTTACGTTAATTTTTGCAAGTCTTAAATCATACTGTCCACAATTTTAATACCTTTATGGCACATTTTCATTGGTCGATATACAGCATGCGGCTACTAATGGCAAATTTACATTAGTCGACAAGGCCTTCATGCGGAGTATGGGTGGTTTCAGTGGGCTAAAACGATCGTTTTACTATCTATCGGATAGCATCAATATTATCTGATCTTATACCATCGATACTATCGAATATGACAGCGGTTATCGATAATTCAGTTATAGTAGACTATGGATATTCAGCTCTGACAGCAATTAGCCGCATTTCTAATGCCCAGTCGATCAATGTAAATGAACTATAATTAAGGTGCACACCATCGCGTAGTCGCACATGCATAATGTTCCTATTGTATGCGTTAATAAAATCGATACCGACTAGTGAAACAGGATCCCCGAATGCGGACTCTAACGACCAATGAAAATGCGACTACAGTGATAATGAGCCAAGTATTTTTGAACAAATACAAATCACTATTGTATAACAAAGTAACTTTACATTGCTTCAGTTTTAAATGACGTAAGACAAAGAACCACTTTACAGATGCTCGTCGGTTATGAAACGTGAAAGTGGATTGTGTCCGCCTCAAAGAACACAGAATAAAATGTACTACTAACTATCTACGGTGTTATTCTGTTATATCGGCCTCAAACGCCTCGGAACTCGTCCCTGTCATAGCATAGTAATCATTTAAAACATATTTCAAAATGTAATAAAGATTTTTACTCATTAAAACTATGCTATCACAGGCCTGTGCTCGCTGACAAGTTCTTTTTTTTATGGGATAGGGGGCAGACGAGCAGACGGATCACCTGATGGTAAGTGATTACCGTCGCCCATAGACACCTGCAACACCAGAGGGGCTACAAGAGCGCTGCCGGCCTTTTTCGGGACGAATATGATCATAGGGAGGGAAGGGTTGAGGGGTAGAGGGAAGGGAATAGGGAGGGGTTGGGCCTCCGGTACCCTCACTCACACGACGAAACACAACGCAAGCGTCAGACTATTCAAAAATGACAAACCCTACTCGTTTTTAAACCGTTATAAATTGACGGCAGGTGTCAAAATTCATTGTAGAAATATGTCTTATTGTAGTACGTGCAGACGTGTGTGCTAAGTGCATTGCTGAGAATTAATGCCCCTCGTGTGTACTATACCACTACTCATACCATTTAGTAACACTTAGCTACTAACAATAAAAAATTATATGCGTTGAGTAATGTTTTCATATGTATCTTATCTACCTATGTAATGTTGATCACATAGAACCTTTACACAGGTGTATCTCGTTGAGAACGTCTCACATCGTACGTAATAGATATAATTACTATACAAGTATGTTAATATAAAAATGCATGAAAACAACAGGTAAACATTAAACATATTAAGACCTCATAATCCTCAAGTGATAACACTTGCCCCATAATTCCAAAGCAAATTTATACTTGGCTTTATAAAAATAAGTGCATTAATATAAACGATGATTTATGTTATCGCATATAAAATGAGGAATGTAACATAAATTAGTCTATATTTTTTTATACAATAACCAAGAATTTCTTAGTGATGTACGAAATGAATGAAAAACTGTGCTTAATACAAAAATTGTTTAAACAAATGGCAATGGAAAAGCAGTTATTTAAAGTATGCATGTACTTCGGTAGCTTATAGATGCATAGCAATCGGTGTGCAATACCTTAAATAGTGATATCATTAGAATAAACAAGAAAACATGTTAATGAGTACAATGTATTTATGATCGTGTAGACTTTATTGCACATAATCATAAAGATGACAACAGACGAAATGAAATTATGACTAATATTGTCCTCAAAAAGAATAAGGCAATCGTGCGACAGTTTAATCATGGCAAGAATAAAACATATGTTGCGCCTGACAAGCATTATTAATTTTTAAGTACATTCAGGTAATTATGACTCCGCAAATGACTGATTTTGATTCTGCATCAGCGCGCTCTACAAGTTTTGCTCTCTTCGATGCAATAAACGAATCCTGCGCTACTTGTTGATAGATTTTTGTATTGTTACTTGTATTTCTTTTGGCGCTTCCCCATTCCTACGACGACGGAACTTCTATAAACTAATATTATAAAGACGAAAGATTTGTTTGTTTGCATTGAATAGGCTCTGCAACGATAGGACTTATTTAAAAAAAATTCACTTACGGGAAGCTACGCCATAAGCGAGTGACATTAGGCTATAATTAACGTGGACGACATCGCGGGAAAACAGCTAGTATAAAATAAAGAGGAGTTCTTATAAATAAATTACATTTCAAAAAGTCTAATTTAAAAAAGCAAGTATATACAATATGTATTATTTTGTCTATAATGGTCTCAATTCTGTTGTATCACTCGTCTAAACTAGCAATTAAAAATTTTTGTTTTATTTGGCATTATTTTAATGTAAATCCGTAATATCATTAGGTATAACATTAGGCAAAGGAATTAATTATACTCTTGTATCAATACATAGCATAAAGCAAAGTCGCTTTCTATCCCCATGTATGCTTAAATCTTTAAAACTACGCAACGGATTTGGATGCGGTTTTTTTTTCATAGATAAGTAGGGTGATTCAAAAGGAAGATTTTTATGTATAATACAAGACCACGTGGGCGAAGCCGCTGGCGGAAAGCTAGTACTATAATAAGTTTATTTATGTTGACTTATTTGCTTACGAAAAACACAGTTTGACAGAATTCAACTAAATTTAGACTAGCTCGGCAACAGAATTGCTACCAATATCTATTTAATTAACTATCGGCCGTTTCCCATTATACGTAATTAACCAGCCTATAAGTTTCCAGACTGACATTTTATTTGGTTATTCGATCTCTGATCTTAAAATATACGGCGTATACTAAACTCAAGTAACATTTCTTTTCTTTTGTAAAATATCATTACATTAAAATTAATATAGTTCATTTTATTATTATGTTATACGTTTATTAATTGTTAGGTAGATATTATGTTTTTAATGACATATGTGAAGACTGAAAGATCTGTTTGAGAAGATCTGACTAAAAAAGGGGCAATGCCATTAATTAAAAGAATTTGAAATACCATAAAATGGTATTTCAAATTACCATAAAATGGTATTTCAAATTATTTAATCATTAAATAAAGTATTTTAACATTAATACTTTATTTAATGATTAAATAATAATAAAATAGTTTATTGCACACTTTTCAGGACATATTACATAAAAGCAAGAGAAGGAAGTACAAGAAAGTTGGCCTTATTGCTTAACAGTAATCTCTTCCAGGCATGTTAAAAAGTTAATAAAGAACAAAGGTGGAAATGATGCATCATAATGTTTTAACATAAAGTGCCCATGCTCTTTTTGATGCTTTAATTAAATTGTTTAAATTGTTTGCTAACATATTGCTTTTCTTTCATTTCTGAAGATTACTTGGATTGGGTATTTACCGAGCTATCGCCAATTCTTTAAAGACCATCCGATCATTGTAGACTTTAAATAACAGCTCTCGACGGAATTGACAAAAGTCAAATGTGTAAACCGATTCCGAAAAAAAAAACAAAATCACCCATCGCAAGTACAATTTTGGCAAATTAAAATTAATTTTTACACTAATGTCTAAAGCAGTGATTCCCTATTGGTCCAGGTGGACCCCCAGGGGCCACGAGGGATTCAACGGGGGTCTACGTTGGCGTGAAATAAAACTAGGGCGCCAATTTACATCGTTAGATTTTCACATTTTGGACGAATTTTTTGAATATGGTAAAAATGTAGGATCAGGGGGTCCACCGAAAGCAGTTAATTTTTTAAAATGGTCTACGAGAAAAAATTGTTTGGGAACCTCTGGTCTAAAAGGAGTGTTTTAAATATATTATTATAAACATATATCTAGGTACATATTATAAACCGAAACATTATTATGCGAAGCGTTGACCAAAGTTTGCCGAAAGGTAATCTCACTCTAGTCTTGTGATCAAGGTAGACCAGCTCTAATACTAATTTACAAGGCGGCGGTATCAGAAAAACCAAATCAATTTTCAATCAATCAATCAAACGTTGAAAAGAAAACCAATTTAAAATAATATATCCGGAAATCCTCATGAGGCGTCAAAAGTTCATTTATAAGACTTCGTTGTCAAGCCGATTACCATGTCAAAAATGGTAACACGATCCTGTAATATCGACCTACTCAAATAAGGTACCATTCATTTTTATTCAGTTAAACCTTGGATTATAAACAATAAAGAACTTTTTGAAACTGGCATACATAAAACATTATAAAATATCACAGTTGTAACAATCATGCTTATTAGTTTTAAACAATGACGTAGAAGTATGTGAAAGCCAATTTTATCTCGTTACATTACGCTTCGTAACCGATTTGGTGTTTTCCGATAAGCTCCCCAGTCCGCTTAAAAACGATAATATCCACAGATATATTTCTGTGATAATATCCATTCAAATATTATTAAAAAAAAGTACGTGAATAGATAAAAACGCAAAAATATTTCCAGCCAGTCTCTTTTATACTCTAATCGCAAAGCGAAAGTTGAATTAGACTTAGCAACAACGTCCAGAACGATTTTATTGATCACGCAATTTAAATCAAATTCATTTTATTATAAATATAAACATTTAGCAAATGTGTTATTTACAAATTTATCCATCGACAGTCTATATGAAAACTCCAAAACTTATCAGTGTATATTGTGAGATTAATTTATCTCAAGATAGGATAATTTATTATTAACATTATCAGACATTACTGGTGTACTTAAATAAATTAATGATTTTATTGTGTGAGATATTTAGCTACAATTGATTTATATATTTATAGGGTCTGGGCTGTAGGACTGGAGAGTGGTAGGCGATGACGCTCCATAATCTGGAGTCGTAGCTGCAGAGTTAGTGGGCGTCTCAATCGGTTTATTGAAAACGGGAGCGACGTATTCCTGGAACCTAACACTCGACTCTTCTTGCAACGGCGCTGGAGGGGTGCAACTAGGAAACGGACTTAGTAATAGGAATGTTCCAAATGCTACAATAGATGCCATTATTAGGATTATGGTTCGAGCTTCGAATCCTGATCTAAGTCCGGCCCACGCCGCCATGTTGATTAGTAACAGTAACACTGACACACGAATAAGACTAACAGCAGTAGCATGTATTCTACCCCCACCTACTCCACTCATGTCACAAGGACCATAGGCAAAATACAAATTATGCTTATCACCAACATGCTTAAACATCAAGTATATCAATCCAAAGGGCGCGATCAATGGACATGCGAGACTGTAAACCATAGTTATTGAGATAATGGCCAAACTCCATGCATAATGGACACCAAATGGAAATTCATATAAAATTGCCTTCTTCACATAGCTCTTTTCTGCCTTTGATTTAGACTGTAGTAAGTACCAAACATAGAGGAATAACTCTGGAAAACGAATTAATTCCAAAGCTGTACCGATGAAACCAGAAGTTATTACATAGTTAACAAAAAATGCTCCTTTGTCAGGTAGAAAAACGCAATCCCATCTCATTGTGTCATTTTCATGGTGAAAGGTCCACATAACAAATGCTTCTGCACTAGCAAGACCCAAAGATGGTAATATCAAAGTCATAAGTAGCAAGAAGGAAACTGTTTTTGTCATGACAGAGTAGTTTTGTTGAGACTTAGTCCAATGTGAGAGAAACTTGTCAGAGAATGCCACAATGGCCGGCATCACAGCTGCCATTGTCCAAAGAAGCAATGTGGGCAGAAATTCGAATATGACACTACTAATTTTATTCATTGATTCTGGCCTAACAATTAAAGTGTTAAAAAGGTTCACAACAAAAGCAGGTGTTGTTAAGAAAAATAATACTATAAATAGGAAGAAGTTAATAATTATAGCTTTGACATACCAAATTCCTGGTTGTACATTTAAATTTTCCCAAATTATATCAGATGGATTGGTAGCATGTTGTAAAACCCATCCACGATGTAAGCTAAAATGACTTATTACATGTTCGGCTAACTGATATGAAGGTAATGTTAAAAAGGCAATACCAAGGGGATCGTTCAGCACCATCGCACGGCATCGTTTAGCTTCATCTTTGAGTCTCTTTTCTTCATTGCTATAGTAATCAATAGCATCCACTTCTGGCCCACATAAGCGAGTCTTAACTGTGATACGTTTCCCTGTCTTCCTATAATAGGTTTCACTGTATACAAGAGCTTCTGTAACCATCTCCTTTTTCTCTTGAACTTCATTTAATTTATTAATATTGTAAGTTAAGCGAAGATCAATAATTTGAATATGTGGGAAATTGTGTGCAAAATATGCTCTTATTGAAGACTCATTTCTATCAGCTTTTGATATATTTGTAATCATGATAGTTCCAGTTAAAGAAGTTGGAACTGGTTTACGACCAGTACATCTTCGCATGATCAAAACTGATATAGGCAAAAAGGCAATGCTGATTAAAGTATGTACCCATAGCCAAGAGGATCTTCCGGTAACATTTGTGAGTGTAGTTTTACTGAATGCTCCAGCTTCTACTTGCAACCCTGAGCCATTAAAATTAATGGGCAAAATAATACCAATTGCTGTCAAAGTTACAATAAACATCAACGTTATAGCATGCCTTTGGAAAGATAAGTAATGTACGGCATCTGGACCACATTTTGCTAAAACTTGTTCACGAGTTATTTTGAAAACAGCTGGGAGCCAAGTCAGGAAGCCTTCATCCATGCTGACTGACTCATCACTGCTCCGTCGTCTGTTGACGAGAGCGTCACCGTCACCTCCGCGATAGAATAGATTAGTCCAACGGCTCTTTGTCCGCTGTACAAGTGCCATTCGTCCATAGTTCCACGCAGTTCTCCGTAATACGGAAAACAATAGTATCAAACATGACCATGAAATCAAGTTGAGAATTAAAGTTTGTGGAATACCGTTATAAGCTCCAGTTATAATTACATTTTGAGTCGTATTCATCAACATACAGCCTTCATCATCGGTGTTGTTGGAGATGTTTGTTGGTGTAAATAAAATTTCGCTTGTAAAACTTTTCATTGTTGATGTCGCAACAGTCACTTAGTCACAAAAAGAGAAAGTATTTTCATAATTGTTGGATACTAAACTTATCCAACCTTTTGCGAGTTTCATGAAATAATAGGACGCGATATATAAATTATAAGAAGATAATCACTTTTGTCACAAATAGGTACGCAGGTAAAATACAAGTAGGTATTACCTACGACACACACCAGAAACACACAAAGATTGTCATCATTGTCATTTAACTGTCATAATTTGACATCCATCACAGACCATGCAATACACTGTAGTCTTTGTATGCAATGGAGGAAAAAAGTTCTCATTAAAAATCATAGCAATGATATATAAGTAATTGACCCAATGAAAACGCGTCCCGTAGATTCAATCACAGGATTCGAGCGAGACTGCAGTTATTAAGTGATGCTACAATCATGGACTTAGTACTTATAACTCCGGAAAATTGTTATTAAAAAAATGAGCCTGATCACTGTCGATTAAATTAGACTTTTAATTGCTTGTTGTGCAGAAGATAATCTAAGAAGAGAAAGAGAGTCACAACGGAAGCCATGTGTCTCGTTCTTCCATCTTCCAACATAAAAAATATCGTTCATAAAAAATGTATACTAAAAAACCTTAGTGGAAACTTTTGTATTTTAATGGTAACAGTTTTAAAATTTAAAGTTAATATTTTTATCTCATCCATTCGTTCATATTAAATCATCAAAAAAGATAGTACTAATTATTTACACTGCTATTTGTTTACTTATTTTATACTGGTATCCCTTTGAAGTGTCATGGCGGTGACTAGTAATGAAGTTTAATACTTAATAAAAAAAGAAAGTACCTCACTAGATGGCGACGAAGAAGGGAAGACTTTTTCCTATGTGTACTATTGATTAGTGCGTTTGATCTGCCATTAACAAGATTAAGCTACGTTCGCAAAGGCGAGTTACGGGACGGATGATATTTTTATTTCTAAATGGTTGAGTGTGGTGGACCAAGGTAGGCGTTGCGAGGTGAGGCTTGGTGGTGCGGGGTGGACCAAGTTATTGTTCTCTTTTCTTTTCTTGCGTTTAGTATTATGTAAAAAAATTTGATCACCCATCCGATTCGCGGATCAAACGCTAACCACCTGGCATTGCTAATTAGGTCCATGTGGAGGTAAAGGTAACAAATTGGTGGTACTAAATCACAGGTATTCTTAATGGATGAAATTAATCTACCCAGTAATTTGTACTGGGACAACGTGATCATATTTAATCCTTTGCGATCATCGCTTAACCACGCTAACCACTAAACCATCGAGCTTTTCACTAATTTATATAGTAGGATATATTTGACAAATTGAATATATTTTGATGATTTTGTGGCACATTTCTTTAATAATCTTTGTCGACCACTCTGTGGCAAAGTAAACTGTGACATTTGTATTTTGTAAATGGTACTTAAACATCAAACAATCTGTAAGTAAACTCATAACTGTGAACACGTTTATTCTTTTACTGACCCTTCGGTAAAATTTAGTAATATCAGTCCCCGAGCCAGTGGCGTAGCTACCAAGGGGCTAGGCGGGGCAGTGCCCCGGGGCCCTCAAGCTCAGGGGGCCCTCGTATCTTTACCAGAAAATGTCAATCGAACTCAACTTTTGAAAATTTCTCCTATTTTCAAAATAAATATGACAGGTAACAGGCAACTCAGTTGTGAGAAATTCTAAAGTTATAAAATGGGAATTCCCCTAAATTATTTGTGTGGGTTGTCAGTGTTACGAGGGTCAAACTGAAAGTTCTTAGAACTGGCCACTTATAAACAATATAATAAAAAAATAATTCTAAAATTTGAAAATATAACTCTTTGCCAATATTACTGAGTATATATTTCATTCATTTGTCATTTGTTTTACGATTTGGCGGCAAATTGAAAATTGTCTGTGTCACGTCATCATGAATTTAACACGAGAAAATTTTCGTGCAATGATTTTTTATGACTTTCGATGTCATTTAAGTCAACAAGAAAGTTATGATAGACTACGATTGGCCTTTCACGATGAAGCCCCATCTCGTGCGACTGTTTACAACTGGTTTAATGAGTTTAAACGTGGTCGCACTAATCTCACTGATGATTTACGTGAGGGACGGCCTTCTACGGCGACGACTGAAGATAACATCTGTGTTGTGCGGCGTATGATAGAGACTGACAAAAGAGTGACCTATCAACAGATTCGGACAAGCTTAGGCATCGGTATGAGTCAAGTGCACAAAATCCTCCACGAACATTTAGCGGTCAGGAAGCTTTGCGCCCGGTGGATACCTCATAATTTGACTGAGGCTCAAAAACTCCATCGTGTGGATTGGTGTCGTAAAATGATTGAAAGATTTAACGGAGGTGACTCAAATGCTGTGTTCGACATACTAACAGGTGACGAAAGCTGGATTTACTGTTATGATCCTAAAACCAAAAGACAATCTGCTCAGTGGGTGTTTCCTTTCGAGGAGTTGCCAACTAAAGTGAAGAGAGATCGAAGTGCGGGAAAAAAAATGGTGGCCTCGTTCTTTGGAAGGATAGGTCATTTTGCAACAATTGTGTTAGAGGATCAAAAAACAGTTTCTGCAGAATGGTACACTACCAATTGTTTGCCACTTGTCTTGGAAAAAGTTCGAGAGAAACGACCTCGCAGTAGGATCCTCCTTCACCACGACAACGCCTCGTCGCACACCGCCAAGCGAACGATCGACTATTTGGCGACATCAAACGTTGAATTACTGGGTCACCCGCCGTATAGCCCCGACCTCGCGTCTTGTAATTTTTATTTATTTCCAAAAATTAAAGAAAAACTTAAAGGAAAGCGGTTTATGAATGCTGAAGAAGCGATGGCTGCGTATCGCGATGCCATTGAAGAGACCCCTAAGGACGAGTGGGCAAAGTGCTTTTCCCAGTGGTTCCATCGCATGCAGCGGTGTATTGACGTGAATGGACAATATTTTGAAAAGATGTAATAAAACTAATAACTGGCTAATGTAATCAGTTTTTGATTTTCTAAGAACTTTCAGTTTGACCCTCGTATTAATGTTTTCATCAATTTGTCAGATATCAATATCTGCATATTATTATTTATCGATATGCATTTTTGTGATTCGCGATTGTGAACTTCGAATGAAGATTTTTTTTCGAGAATGGTTAAAAAGTTAATGTGTCAGGAGTAAGTAAGTGTATGTCAATAAAATTTTGTACTGGTCTATACAAAAGTTCAATTTTATTTGATTACAGTACGTATAGATAGTTACGTAAAGAAATCTAAAGATTTCTGCTACTCACTATTTAACTCAAAATACCGTGAAAAATACAAGTCACATGCGGTAGGGGGCCGTCCATTAATTATGTGATGTTTTTTTTGTCATTTTTTTAAACCGTCAAATGTGGTAACACTAGCGGCGATAAAATGTTTGCCGAGAATTCCCCAACGACGTCTTGTATCGTATCATTACGTTTCGCTTTCATTTTACTTGTAACGTTGTCAGTGAACAGTGAGTACCTACTTGAGTACAATCTTACATAAATATTGCATAAATAAATTAGAAAACTATTATTATGGACAAAAAAAAAGGAACCCAGTGGTGCATTTAAACGTAAACAACGCCAAGAAAGAAAAGAAAGTAAACAAAAGTTGCGCAAAATTGACAAGTTTTTAGTCAGCCTTCTGCACGTACTTCTGGACAAAATATATTTATTGATTATTTTTGTAAATAGTTTGCATGGCGATAGGTTAAATAACAGTAAGCTGGTGCAACGTATCTAAGAATAAATAAATATATAATAAACCCTTGAATCTTTTCTATTTCGTTTTATTGCCCAATACCTATATATATATATATATATATATATATTTATATATTTTTTTGACGCTGAGAAATGCGTTACCCATACCCGCTACACCCAGCGCGGGTTTCACGGGTTATGTGGGACTCCTCTTGTGGCCCCACCCCCGAACAAGAAACAGGAGTTTACCCACTAAAACTCAGCGATGTCCCTCTCATGGAAGGCGATGCACGGGATCGGCCCGGAGGCCATACACCGCGCGGTTCGCCCCATTTCGGCCCGCCCTGAAAAGGGCAGGTCTCTCGCGGATTGGGCGGCACATCTCAGAGACACTCGAGACGTACCCCCCCAGACAGGGCGGAGACGTACAATGCCGGCTAGTGCGCAAACCAGCCAGCTGCTCCCGACTAGGGACCAGAGCTACCACCGGAGTACGGCCCGACCACAGCCCTGAAAAGGGCGCTATCAGGCCTCATCAACCGGCTCCGCCGCTCCTCTCAGCGCGGCCCCGGAATGGTACCGTCCAACCCGGCCGCCACACACACCAAAGCGGTGTGTATGGCGGCCGAGCTGGGCACCCAGACCGGGGCCACAGAGGAAATCCCCTTACCTGCGAAACGCAGGTCGACTCCTCAGACTCCTCTTACTAACTGTGACACAGGCGCACCCGGCAGACGTAACCCTGCCAGGGAACCAGTCGAACCGTAGCCGCTCCGGTTGTCCCCCCTCCAACTGACAGACACACTATTGTGTGTCCATCCCATCGGAGGAGTCATCAAACGGTTCCGCACGAGTGCCTGCAGGCACGGGAACAGACCGTGTCCAATTCTTCGCTGGTGGTGGAGAGCACAACTTGCTCCCCGTCACATGGTCTGCGGGAAGGGATAATGCCGTACAAACGGTACAGCGCATCTTCGCGCGACAACTCACCGCGCGACAACGGTGTCCCGTGCGGTGAGTCTGGAGTGTCTGGAAGGACACTTCCAGACCACATCTGAAACATGTGTTGGACATGTCTATGTTGGAAGGACACGACCTCCGCACATGCCCCGTACCCATGCACTTGAAGCAACGCATGGGCAAGGGGTCCAGTCGACAAACTCTGGCGACCATCCATCCCACAACCAAGCCCTCACTAAGCAGCACATTGGCCGCCGCCACCGGGACACGAACATGTGCCGATTGACCTCTTCTGATGCCCTTGGTTAGAGGACCGACAGCAACTCGATCCAAGGGACATTGCCTCTTAGTTGAAATCGCCACTCGTACCTGCTCTCGATTGATCCCCTCATCTAGGTCCGTTATCCGCAAGTCTATGCGTTTAACGGGCCTTGTCACATCCAGTCCGCTGCCGAACAGCTCCTTCAATTTGAGGGCGAGCTTATCTGCCT